CTCTCTCTCTCTCTCTCTCTCTCTCTCTCTCTCTCTCTCTCTCTCTCTCTCTCTCTCTCTCTCTCTCTCTCTCTCTCTCTCTCTCTCTCTCTCTCTCTCTCTCTCTCTCTCTCTCTCTCTTGTAGGCCCAGCCACTCAACGGCGATATGCTTAAGTCGCTGCAGGACATGTACGAGCCGGGCAGCCCAATCACAACATGGGTTGTTGCAGTGAAAAACGGCAAGGTTGAACTCTCCACCATCGACCCAGGTGTGTTTTGTGTGTGTGTGTGTGTGTGTGTGTGTGTTGTGTGTGTTGTGTGTGTGTTGTGTGTGTTGTGTGTGTTGTGTGTGTGTGTGTGTTGTGTGTTGTGTGATGGTAGATGGTGTTGGGGTGTGACAACCGTGCAAGTGAACATGGCAATCGCGCTCGTGCACCATGCGTTTGGTCCTCTGTCGCTTTGTCATGTGTTTGTTTGGCACTAGGTCCAACACACGAGCAGCAGGCAAACCGCTCACACAGGCCATGCGTTGTGTCTGCTGTGTTTGTATAATGGTTCAGCTACGCAAGAGGAGCAGGAGAACAAGGAGATAACAACGGGGCGTGTGCACACAAAGGGTTCCATTCACCTCATTGTTCGGCTCGGGCGTGGCAAGAAGGGCCGTGTTCACATCTGTGATGTTGATGACAAATTCCACGCCGACCCATTCCAGGTGGCGCACTCCTGCTTCTGTTGTGTTGTGCTGTGCTGTGTTGTGTTGTGTTGTTTTATGTTGTGTTATGTTGTGCTGTGTTCTGTTGTGTGTTTGCTTGTTGCTGGTTGCTCACTTCTCTATCTCCTAACTCTGCTTACACCACACGCCTTCTTCTTCGTTTTCCTCCTTTGGTTTCTCATGCTCAAACCTCCATCCACCTCCACTCCTCCCAACCCTCCACTCTTGTACTTCCCACAACAGCGATTTGCGCTGCACGAACTGGTGAAGGTGAAGAAGGTTGAAGCGCCAAAGCACTCGCACCGCAACGAGCAGCAGCACAAGGCAGACTGCCAGCTCTCCATGCGCCCCTCGGAGATTGACACGAGCACAGCAGCGCCACGCGACCCCATCATCGCCTCCGCCGCAGATGTCAAGCAGGACCAGATTGTTCGCGGTTACGTGTGCAACGTCACTGACAACGGCGTCTTTGTTGCCCTGGTGAGCCGTCACTGGCAGAAGCGGGTTGGGTGCTGTCTTGTGGTGTGTCGTGTCGAGTGTATTGTATTGGGTGATGTGCTCTGGAATTCATTCTGCTTGCCCACTGCTTAACCCGCAGGCTCCTTGCCTCCTTGTATGTGTTCAAACGACTCACTCACCTCACGCACGCACACGCGAAACGGACCTGAACCCCCTCCCACACACCCACACACTGTCTCGCACATTGCGTTGTTTCTGTGTGGTACCAGTCGCGCCACGTCTCTGCGCGAGTGAAGATTGCCAACCTGAGCGATTTGTTCATCAAGGACTTTACCAAGGTCTTCAAACCCGGCCAGCTGGTCAAGGGCAAGGTCCTCTTTGTCACCGACGACGGAAAGATCGAACTCACACTCAAGCGGGTGCGCAACCAAACGTTGTTTGTGTGTGTTTGTTGTGTGATCTTTGCGTGTGTGATCTTTGTGTGCGTGTGTTATTCTGTGTCCAATACTGGTCTTTGCTTGTCTTTACTCGTTCCTCGTCTCGGCCCTGGTTTACGTGCCAATGCTTTGCACCTCCATGTCCAAGTCCCTCACACTCGCAACGCGTCCCGCCACTGTTACCCTACAACCCCCCCCTCTCTCTTCATGCGCCACAGAGCGCGGTCAACCCTCGCGAGAGCAAGCCTGTGCGCTACAACGACCTGAAAATTGGGCAGATTGTGGCTGGCGTTATCAAGCGCGTGGAGTCGTTTGGTGTCTTTGTCACCATTGACAACTCAAAACTCAGCGGTGCGCTGATAGTGCGCGTGCGTGCACCATGTGTATGTTTGTGTGTGTGTGTGTGTGTGTGTGTGTGTGTGTGTGTGTGTGTGTGTGTGTGTGTGTGTGTGTGTGTGTGTGTGTGTGTGCATCGTGTGTGTGTGGATTTGCGCACTCTGTTGTCGAGCGCTGTCACATACCTTTTGACAAAGTTTCATCAGCTCACACGCAATCCCTTGTTGTTTCTCACAGGTCTTGCCCACATCAGCGAATGTGCCGACGCAAAGATTGATGTGAGTTGGCTGTTTCTTGTGCGTCAACTTTATTTGGCTTCATGTCATTCCTAATATTTCAGATGACGCTTTGCTAACGAGGTGTTCTCATTGTGCACACACACACACACACGCACACAAACGCACGCATCCAACATACACACTCACAAACACGCGTGCTTGAACAGAACCTGGACGCGGTGTACAACGTGGGCGATGCCGTCAAGGCGAAGATCTTGCGACTGAACAAAGAGAAGAAACGCATCTCGCTGAGTACGTGCTGCTGACACACTGCTGCTGTTGACAATGCATATGATTGCACGACTGTGTTTGATGATGCACTGGTTATTTCGGTGTGATTTGATTGCTTGACTGCTGATTGCCTATGCTTCGTTCCTCCAGCTCACGCGCCTCCACAACAACACACACACACACACACGCACACATACACAAACACAAACACACGCACATACAAAAAAAAACGCACGCACTGCACAGCGCTCAAGCCATCTGCTGTGGAAGGAAAGCAGAGCACGGGCGAGGATGATGAGGAGAGCGGTGAGCCCAAGGCAAAGAAGGCGAAGCGCGCAAAGAAGGCAGAGAAGAAGCAAGCAGAGGAGGACAAGGCAGACAACAGCGGAGACAAGACAGAAGAGGAGCAAGGCGCACCTGCTGGTGATGACGATGATGACGACGAAGAGTATCTGGACACAACCAAGGTTGCTGACAAGAGCAAGCGGCTGGTTGTGCTGCAGCCAACGCAGATGGCTGAGGAGAGCGATGAGGAGGAGGAGGATGATGACGAGGACTTTGTTGGTCGCAGCGAGGGCGGATACACAGACGCGAGCGACGCCGCAAAGTACGTGACACGTTGTGGTTGCGCCCACGTGACAGGGGTAGTCCCCTGTGTGCACGAGAATGACATGCTGCTTGACTGCTGTGTGTGCTAACCTAATTGCTTCACAACCAAGCCTGTACTGTTTCCCACCCCACATTTTGGCTGTAACCACCCCGATGTGTGCTTGATGTCTTCCCCCTTACCTCTGATCGAACTGCCTCCCTCTTATCACCGTTGACCTGCTGTGCCTCCTGCTGCGATTGCTGCAGGGCTGCTGCGATGGCGAAGAAGGCGCAGCCGCTTGCTGTTGAGGGCGACAGCGTGTGGGCGGACGATGTGGACGGCACCATTGACTCGCTCCTCTTTGGCGATGCAAACGACGACGATGACGATGAGGAGGACGATGATGAGTTGCAGGATGGCCCACTGTCCAAGCGCGCAAAGCACGCCGCCAAGAAGCAGCGCGAAGCGGTGCGGAACATTGCTGCTTTATCTGTCTGTGTGTGCGTGTAAGCGTGTGTGTCTGTGTGTAAGCGTGTGTGCGTATGTGTGTGTGTCTGTGTCTGTGTGTGCGTGTGTGTGTGTGCGTATGTTTGCGTGTCTCTGTCCCTCTGGGTATGTGCTTGTGTCTGGGTCTGTGCTTGTGTGAGTTTGTGTCTCGAATCATCATGTTCAAGCTTGCCACGAGCGTGCTGATACGAACGGCCGTGCTGCACCTGGACAGGAAACGAGGCGAAAGGAAGAGGAGAAGGTGGCTGGCAAGAAGGAGCCACAGACACCCATGGACTTTGACCGCCTTGTCCTGCAGGCGCCAAACAGCTCGTATGCGTGGATCCGCTACATGGCATACTACCTCAAGGTCTGTGCACGCTTGCCCATGTAGTTTGCAGTGCTTGCGTCTGCGACTGACTGTGCTTCAGCTTGTGTGTGTGTGTGTGTGTGTGTGTGTGTGTGTGTGTGTGTGTGTGTGTGTGCGTGTGTGTGTGTATGTATGTGTGGACGTGTGTGTGTGTGGACGTGTGTGTGTGGACATGTGTGTGTGTGGACATGTGTGTTGTTTGGTACCTCTCTTTCTGTATGTTCTGGTTGAATTGTACTTGTGCATCGTGTCTGACCACTTGTTCTTGTTTCATGCGTGTTCACTGTTTGATGCCCGCGCTTTCACTTGAACCTTCAGTTGACGGAGCTCGACAAGGCCCGCGCAGTTGGCAAGCGCGCCCTCAGCACCATCAACTTCCGCGAGGTGATTCATTGTGCCTCTGTGTCTGCGTGTGTCTGTGTCTGTGTGTCTGTGTGTGTGTGTGTGTGCTTGTGCGTTTGTGCTGTCTGTCTGTGTGTTTGTGTTCTTTTCCTTGGCGTGATTGATTTTGCTGCCGCCGTCTCAGGCTCCAAGTACATCAGCTCAACGCCAGCCATTGCGCCTTGTCATGAACTGCTGCCGGTCACAGGAGAAAGAGCGGATGAACGTGTGGGTTGCGCTGCTCAACCTTGAGAACGCGTACGGCACGCCCGCCACACTCAACAACGTCTTCACAGAGGT